TCCTCAATCGTAGGTGCGCCAATATTGATTGGGTGGTCCGTGAATGCTGCCTCGATGTTGGGTGTCTTCAGAGGAGCTGGTCGATTTAGGAGTTCCTTAAAGTGCTCTACCCACCTATTTCGCTGTTCGTCAGTGTTGCTGATTACTTTGCCTTCCTTACTTTTGACTGGTCGTTCTGGTTTACGATAGTTCCCGGCGAGCTTCTTTGTAGTTTCGTACAATTGTCCCAAGTTTCCGTCTCTTGCAGCCTTTTCCGCCGTCATTGCTAGATCTTCCACGTATTTTCATTTGTCAGCTCTGATGCTCTTCTTCACTTCCCTGTTTACTTCTGTGTATGCAGCTTGTGCGGTAACTTTCTCTGCTCTTGTTCGGCTGACATTGATTGCTGCCTTCTTGTTCCTCCTTTCTTCAGTTTTTGCGAGAGTATCAACAGAGATCCATTCCTTGTGATGGTGCTTCTTGCGACCAAGGACCTCCTGACATGTTGAAGTGATTGCCTCCTTAATCCCTTTCCAATTGTTCTCCAATGTTGCTTCCTCTCCATTGAGTAGATCCTGAAAGGCCTGGAACCTATTGGTGAGGGCTATCTTGAATTCGTTGAGCTTTACAGTATCCCGAAGAAAGGCCGTATTAAACTTCTGTGATGTTGTCTGTCCCGTTGTCCAGTGCTTCTTTAGTTTCAGTTTCATTTTGGCGACCAGCAAATGGTGGTCTGAGGCTACATCAGCTCCTCTCTTGGTTCTCACATCCTCCATAGTCCTTCTGAACGTTTTGTTGATACAGATATGATCAATCTGGTTTTGAGTAGTGTGATCTGGTGAAATCCATGTGGCTTTGTGAATGCGTTTGTGCGGGAATATTGTGCCACCGATGACCAGTTTGTTGAAGGCACATAGGTTTGCAAATCTCTCACCGTTTTCGTTTCTTTCTCCCAGTCCATGTCGTCCCATGATGTCTTCATATCCAGTGTTGTCCATTCCAACCTTGGCATTCAGGTCTCCCATAAGAATCGTGAAATCCTTTGGTGAACATTTATCGACGATTGACTGCAGCCTTTCGTAGAATTGATCTTTATCGTCATCAATGTAGTCGTTGGTAGGTGCATAACATTGGATGACGTTCATTGTAATGTCCTCTTTCTTTGTTTTGAAGGATGATTTAATGATCCTGGGTCTATGAGATTCCCATCCTATTAGTGCGTTTTGTGCATGTTTGGACAGCATCAGTGCAACTCCTTGTGTATGTGAAGCATTTTCCTCTTCATGACCACAGTATAACAGCAGTTCCCCTGAAGCTAGTCTCAGTTGTCCTACCTGTGTCCAATGCGTTTCACTGATTCCAAGCACCTCGAGGTTGTATCTTTTCATTTCTGCCGCAACTTGAAATAGTCTACCTCATCAAAATACCAAAGAAAGGCGACCCGAGCAAGTGTGAGAACTACAGAGGCATCACTCTGCTTTCAATACCAGGCAAAGTCTTCAAGAGAGTATTGTTAAACAGAATGAAGGACTTCGTAGACGCCCAACTTCGAGATCAACAGGCCGGGTTTCGTAAGGATCGATCGTGTACTGACCAAATCGCTACATTACGGATCATTGTGGAACAATCAATTGAATGGAATTCACCACTGTACATCAACTTCATCGACTACGAGAAAGCATTCGATAGCGTGGATAGGAAAACACTGTGGAGGCTTCTTCGACACTACGGTGTGCCTGAGAAAATAGTTAACATCATACGGAATTCGTATGATGGATTCAACTGCAAAATCGTGCACGGAGGCCAGCTGACAGACTCTTTTGAGGTGAAGACTGGTGTCAGGCAAGGTTGCTTACTCTCACCCTTTCTCTTTCTCCTGGTGATCGACTGGATTATGAAGACGTCAACATCTGGAGGGAAGCACGGTATCAACTGGACAGTTAGGACGCAGCTAGACGATCTGGACTTCGCAGATGACCTGGCTCTTCTATCGCACACGCAACAACAAATGCAAGAGAAGACGACCAGTGGAGCAGCAGTAGGTCTCAACATACATGAAGGAAAAAGCAAAATTCTCCGATACAACACAACATGCACCAATCAAATCACTCTTGATGGGGATGCCTTGGAAGACGTTAACACCTTTACATATCTGGGCAGCATCATCGACGAGAAAGGTGGATCTGATGCAGATGTGAGGGCACGGATTGGCAAAGCGAGGGCTGCATTTCTACAGTTGAAAAATATCTGGAACTCCAAACAACTTTCAACCAAAACCAAAATCAGGATTTTCAATACAAATGTCAAAACAGTTCTACTGTATGGAGCGGAAACATGGAGAACTACCAAAGCCATTATCCAGAGGATACAAGTGTTTATTAACAGTTGTCTACGCAAAATACTTCGGATTCGTTGGCCAGACACTATCAGCAACAACGAACTGTGGGAGAGAACAAACCAGATTCCAGTGGAGGAGGAAATCAGGAAGAAGCGGTGGAAGTGGATAGGACACACTCTACGAAAAGCACCTAACTGCGTCACGAGACAAGCCCTCACATGGAACCCTCAAGGCAAAAGGAAAAGAGGAAGGCCAAAGAATACATTACGCCGAGAAATAGAGAAAGATATGAGAGGAATGAACAAACATTGGACAGAACTGGAGAGAGAAGCCCAGGACAGAGTTGGTTGTCGAAAACTGGTAGGCGGCCTCTGCTCCATTGGGGGTAACAGGCGTAAGTAAGTAATCTGACCCCTCCCCCCAAAAAAACAATTCTCTGTTTTTACATATTTGAAATCATCAATCAATCATTGTTAGACCACCATTAGAAACCTGGAAGCACCGTTTCATCGTAGTATGGAACTCATCAGTGGCAGTGCGCATCCACGACTCCTGCACCTCACGGTATTTGAACCCGGTATTGTGCTCGAACGCCTTCCCATTGGAGCACTGCTGGCCCGGCACCCAACGGCGTTAATGTCTAACTCAGATTGATCTAGGAATTTAGCGCTAGCTCACCCATTTGTCCTTTGGTATTTACTGCCTACACCCGACAGGGTTGAACTCAACAATGGTCACGTCTTCTTAACTAGAACTCCGAGAATCACCTCACGAAGCTAGTCACTAGTGAACACTGTTAAGATATTTTTAGGCAGTTATGGAGGTTTGAGTTTCTACACATTTGAAATCATCAATCAATCATTGTTAGACCACCATTGGAAACATGGATGCACTGGACGGCCATTTCGTCGTGGTATGGGACTCATCAGTGGCAGTGCGCATCCATGACTCCTGTGAAAAGATTCGTGATAGTCCTGATGACAAACCGTACCAAAGATTAATGTTAATCGGCATTGCTGACTTCAAAATGTTCAACTTCATTAGATTCGATAATATAATCAGTGCCATCACACTCAGAAAAATTTCATGACTGCCCTGATCGTCTTTTGTTTTAGCGGTTTTCTAACTGACGCGTAACATCTATCCGATATTTTTTTTTACTATGTAGAATTCGTCTACTATAAGATAGATAAGATAAGTAGATCAACACAAATTTTAACCGATCAGTACACTATAATGTGTAATAAGTGTAATGCACCACCAATCTTGTTTATGTGACTGATTGCAAGTTGTACGTACATTCTTTATAGTAAGCTAATAATAACAACCATCCATTCGAATTGAAGTGATAGTGTATGCGCAGACTAATAATTGATAAAACCAGATGCATGTTCAATGTACATGTGTCCAGTACCAGCCACCATTAGGCTAGTTTAATTTCAAAAAAATTTTCTTACACACCCTATGAAAACATCAAATCAAAACAACAACAACACTAATTTAAAGTTGATAAATTCATAATAAAATTCTACCATAACCTTTTATCATTGCATTCAAACAAACACTACACTGACATGCTTAATTTGTAGTTTTATAAATAATAAAACTCTAAGTAAAACACATACAACTTTTTGTGAATTTCCGTAAATCAAAACCATGTTTTCTGAATTTGAAATACACACCAAAAAATAGATTAATTTTTATTCATGGAGGCGATTTGTAGAGGTTATTGTCTTCTGTAGCTTACATCAGTGACTAGTGACTGTAGCTTGACAACCATAAGTCACTGTGCTGTTATGATGAGACTCCTCAGAAGTATCTACGGGCACTGCCGAGGCTGTTAGGTTTCAGTTTGACAGCTTGACTCAGAACCATTAATGGTTACAATCAATTCGCCACAATGTGTGATCATAATAAGCATGTAATTGGTGGAAAAGTGACTTCCCCCCCCCCCATGATATGGTTGAACTTCACTGGCCACAACTTCTCATTAAAACTATGGAAATCGACTGTTTAAAGTTGGTCGATAATAGACAATATGATAAGACCGTGAAGCCATTCGTTATCTGGCTGAATCAGCGCTTCTGCATTTAAACAGTTATCCCCTACAAATACATGCCACTGCCTTGCTATAAATTTATCTACTCACCTCTTAAGGTAAAAAAAACGGATTACCTGAAGTTTAAAAATTCCTTAAAACTAAGGTAAGCAATACAGAGGAAATTTACAAACTAATCCAACTGACAGATAGACAGATACAACGCAGAACTTTGTACGTAAGTACATCAGTTCAGGTTACCATGCCCCATTAGCACAAAGACGCAACTGTCACTCCACAAATCCAAGAGTGATTGATAGCAATAGTAGTAGAAGTATGAGCAGTGAATGCAGAAGATTAGGTAGCGAAGATTATGATTCAAGAAGTATAATTCAAACTAATCCAACTGCTCTAAAAATAAAAAACAAACAAACAAAACTACAAACACATCACACAAGCGCATACAAGATATAAAAACAATACCTGAATACAGTTTTCAAGTGCATTATGATGTCATTTCATTCAATCATTTCATCATTGTCAAACATTAGTCAGTAGCCATTAAAATTAATCGTTTCTTTTTGATGGAAAAATAAACAACAGTTGAAATGAAAAAAATAAAATAGAAAATTATTAACGTATTAAAATAATATATTTATTCATTTATAAAAACAACAAACAATACATTGAAAACCTTGAAATCAATGACAAACTACTGATAAATTATTTAAGTAGTGTGTTTCTACTTTTTGAATAATACATACATACGTACATACATGACACGATTAAGAACGAAATGTATGATTTAAGAAAAGACAACAACAATAACAAACAACAACAACAACGAAAAAAAGGGGCTGTCATCAATAAAATTCTTTAAAAAAACATTAATAATGATAAATAACATTCCTGCAGAGAGGCAGAAAAAGGAAAACTATCAAAAATGAAATCAATAATACATGCGCAAGAAAAAATAAAATAAAATAAAAATAATTAAAAAAACAACAAAAGAACACCACTACTACTACTACTACAATTCAATGTGTATCATTCATTCATTCATCACCTTGTTTCTGTATCGACAAGAGTTGTACCGAAATAACGATCACCGAAATTGCCAACACCTGGTACTATATGATAACTATCATTTAAGCCGGAATCAACAGCTGTAGTAACAATATGAGCCTAAACACAGAGAGAAGTTGTAAGGAATTGAATGATAATGGAACGATGGAACAGAAAGCATATAATACAAAAGATTAATAATAATAATAATAATAACTCCGCCTGATAGATCCTTCGAGGCTACTGTTGCTAGTCCCAAGCCTGGAGAATGGGAAAGTTGAGAGATTGGCGTTGGCAACCTCATCCTGCAAAACAAACTAACTCGCTGAAAAAACGCTAACAAGAAAAAAAATAATTCAAACTATTTATAAACTCTGCTCTGAGAGTTAGAAGGTCGTCATTTAGAAGAGTAAGGACGTTTTCGATCATACGTGTGTCTTCGAAGCATTGCTCGTATATCGTGGGACACCCGAGTGAGCAACGCTATTATTAGGAATCGGGTGCTAGGTAAGAATGGAAGATCAATAGATGAAGTAATGAAACTTCATCAATTGAGGTGGTTGGGACATGTGCTGCGTATGCCTAACCACCGACTGCCTCGACGAGCTATGTTTTGTGGTGTAGGAGTAGGCTGGAAGAAAGTTAGGGGCGGCCAAATCAAAACATGGCAGAAATCCATGAAGTCATTGACGAGTGGACTTAGCCATGTCGGTAATTGTCGACTACCTGGTTGAGGTCCGCGAGATGATAATAATCGATGGTTAAAGACGCTGAATAACATGGCTCAAAACCGTTTGCAATGGCGCAGTTGCATCCATTCTTTGTATTCTCTCAAATCGTAAACTTCTGGAATCTTCAACACCTCTAGTTTTGACTTTCTAAACTTCTCTCATTTAATCATACTTCTTGAATCATATCTTCTGATCCTAACCTCTCCGATTACTTCTAATACCTTTAATACCTCTTCTACTATTGGATTTGAATTGACAATTATATCTCTGTGCTGATAAGTATGGCAACATGAACTGATGTACTTACGTACGAAGTTCTACGTTGCATCTGACTGACTGACTGAATGAATGACGTTTCATGATGACAGCAGAGTTCCTTCGGAAGTCATGAGGTGGATGCCCCCTCTTCTGACAACCTGAGCCCTTCCACGATGTGGGCAGCCGGTAAGTAACTTCCGCCTTCATATCCATAAAAGCACACGAGACCGAATCGATCACAATCAAATCTTTTTTACACCTCTTAATAACTCACTTATCTTCACAACACTGAAAATTAATTGTAGACCAAAAACCGATTACTTATATTATTTAACAATCAACCTGGTTGACATACTACTAACTGATCTATTTAGTGTAAGATGCAGAATTATACAGTGAGTTGATTGCATTTGACCAGTCAAATCACAATGTCGACTAAAAGATTATTATGTCATTTACTATGGTATTGTACTATCTAAGCGAAAATAATGCAACAAACTTGGATTACGCCATGTTTGTCATGGCAGAGATATGACAAATGATCCAAAGAAATGCATACGACTTAGACTGTACTATTTTGTGGCAAATTAATGTAAATACCCGTTAGTATTTGGGTGCTTTCCGCAGTATATATCCTTTCCACATCCAGCGCTTCTACCTGAATTCCTCCTCCACTGGAATCTGGTTTTTTCTCTCCCACAATAGATTGTTGTTGATGGTGTCTGGCCATCGATTCCGAAGTATTTTATGTAGACAACTGTTAATAAATACTACTTGATGGCTTTTGTAGTTCTCGAAGTTTCCGCTACATACAGTAGAACTGTCTTGACATTCGTATTGACAATTCTAACTTTGGTGTCGGTTCATGGTTGTTTGGAGTTTCAGATGTTGTTCGGTTGCAGAAGTGTTACCTTCGCTTTGCCGATCTGTGCATTTACACCTGCATCGAAACCACCTTGCTCGTTAATAATGCTGCCCAGATATGTAAAACGTTTTACGTCCTCCAAGGCATCTCCATCAAGAATGATTTGATTGGTGCATGTTGTGTTGTATAGGAGAATCTCGCTTCTCTCTTTATATATGTTGGAATCTGCTGTTGCTGAGGCTGCAGCTACACTGGTCGTCTTATCTTGTATTTACTGTTGCGCGTGCGAAAGAAGAGCAAGATCATCTGAAAAAGCTAGATGGTCCAACTGCAACCTGGCTGTCCATTGTATACCATGCTTCCCTCCAGACGATGACATCTTCATAATCCAGTCGATCACCAAGAGAAATAGAAAGGGTGAGAGTAAACAACCTTGCCTGACACCGGTCTTTACCTCAAACGAGTCTGTCAACTGTCCCCCATTTACGATTTTTCAGTTTCATCCATCATAAGAATTCCGTACGATGCCAGTATAAACTTCAAACAATAATTCGAAAGTAATGCCTTTGACTGGAATGACCAGATGACATAACTTCGAATCAGATGATAGACGACACCTAGATTTCCGGAAATTGTCGATACGGTATTGCTGACTGGTACAAAACCTAGAGATTCCGGCTATTCTACTGTTTGTTCAAAAACTATTCAGCATGAAACTAACACGTTTTTTCTACTATTTTATTTACACCTGATTTGTTCTTTTAATCAGTGCAGAAATATGCACCAATTGTAAGCACAATAATCAGATTAGAGTTGCAGTTACTTTGTTGACCAAACTGTCGTTGCAACATACTTTTATGCATTTGGCTTTGAATTATAAGATTTTATAAGTATATATGAATGATTTTTAGCACAGTTCAAGACAACTGCTTCAAATATATACTGTGATTAAATCAGAACATCACTACTGCAAAGCAAGTTTATTCAGCGTAAAAAATAAGTAGAATTTTACCGACAGATAAAATCCATTTGAAATTGGGTCAATATATTCAGACAGATTGTTTTTGTAGACATCATAAAACTATTACTGAACTATTTACTGTGTGTGTGTGTGTGTGTGTGCGTGAACTTTTGACATCATCAATAGTAATCCGACAAGAAATTGATTTTTTTAATTTTTTCGCGGATTTATTAATGAGCAAATAGGCACTCACTCATATAGGACGTAAATATTATGTAATTTTTTTAGAAAACACGGATAATGCTACGACGTTATACATATATGTGTATGTTTTTCACCAAAACGAGTCTGCTATGTTAACTGCAACCGAAATAAACAAACAGTGTTCAAGGTATTTTTTGGTATATAATAATATAAACGGGTGCTAGGGTAAGGATGGTAGATCAATAAATCAAGTATATTGAAACTTCATCAGTTGAGGTGGTTGGGACATGTGCTACTACTTATGCTTAAGCACCGACTGCCTCGACGAGCTAGCTATGCTTTGCGATATAGGAATAGGTTGGAAGAAAGTTAGGGGGACGACCAAACCAAAACATGGCACAAATCGATCAAGTCACTGACAACTGGACTTAGTTAATGTCAGAAGGTGTCGACTACCTACCTGGTTGGAGTCCACGAGATGATAATAATCGATGGTTAGAGAGAGACCTTGAATGACATGGCTCAGAATCGTTTGCAATGGCGCCAGTGCATTCATTCTTTGTATTCTCTGAAATTCTAATCTTCTAAATTCCTGATCACCTTTATGTTTCTCTTTCTAAATTCACCTCACTGAGTTATACTTCTTGAATAACATTTTCGAACCATAATCTCTCCGATTAATTCTAATACTTTTACTACCTCTACTGCAATGGGATTTGAATTGACAATTATATCTCTGTGCTAACGTTGTGGTATGGCAACTTGAACTGATGTACCTATGTATGTACGTACGAAGTAGTTCTACGTTGATGGTGATGATGATGATGATAATATAATAGTTTATTCAACAACACAATCACCGGACGATACTAAACACCTGCAATTGATGTTTATGGTATGGTATCATGATGCTTCAATCTCCTTATGGAATGTTAATCAATTCTTGATTACTTCTTCAATGCCAGATACAACATGACAGTAAAAGATAAATTTGAGGATGATTTGAAATTCATGTTCACAACTAAAATGATACCAGATATAACGAGACACAGAACTAATAAGATAGTGGTCGACTGAACTAAGGTATCATCATCATCATCATCATCACTTCGTCCAGTTAGCATATATTCCAGAATATTTCAATCAGTTTTTCTCGCAACATAACGACAACATGTGACTACTTCATAGTTGAATGTAAATTAAAAACTTGTGCTTTGATTTATTGTAGATAAATCATGAAATAATCAATAACCAAACAGTGATGATGTGTTTTTTTTTAAAAAAAAAAATCTTATTTTGATGAATAGTATATGGCATTCAATAAAATGCCTAGAAAAATTTTGAATAGCTTTAAAATAAACTTCAACAAATACGTATATACATATATATATATATATATATATATATATATATATATATGCATATATATATATATGCATATAAATGTTGACATGAATAGAATAAATAAATATTCATCACCTTTGGATATGTATAAGCAACAGAATGTACACCTTGACTAGCCATGATTAAAGAGATGAGTATAATTCTCTCTTCTGGTACATCATGTTCCACCAATATACGCATAGCCATGATAGCAGCTGCCCCAGTGGCAACAGTTGCATCCATTAGTATAACAAAACAATCCTGATTGAGTTCATTTACAAAAAAAAAATAAAAACACAAAAGAATCATCAAATGTAACAGACAGAATGTGATTGATGTGATTTGAATGATAAAATAAACAAACTATGACACACACATCAAGTGTGTGTGTGCGATGATGATGATGATGTTCAACATTCTAACTCTGTATTGTATAAAGAGGTCGTCACACGATATTGATAACATTGATAACGAATAGCAGCCAACATAGAAATCGAAAAAAAAATCACGGGGTTAACTTTTAATTTACTTGACTGATATATATTGATCGATAGAATTATGTATGGTATTTAGCTTGCAGATGATAGTCAGTAACATAAAGAGTTGGGTTTTTTTTATTTTGTTTAATTAAAAATGAAAATTAATTTGAACTCTTTCATAAGAAAAAAAATAGATTTTTTTTCTCTCTTTGAATAAAATGAAAAAATTGGCCTTTATACAATTGGAAGTTGAACTGAACCGATAGTTATGGTGTGGTGTGAGCTACTTATAAGTAGTATATGACGTGAGTGTCAACGTAATGTCTGGCAGCAGAAGATGAGGGGAAGATCAAGAAAGGAAGAGTTAGAAGAACACAATGGAATTTGTATGAAACGCATCATGAATAGTGACAATGGATTGATGTTTTGCAACAGGAACAGTCCAGTTCGATATGATGAATTGATATTTTGTAAATTAACGATTTACGATATGGTTTTCCTATTTTACTGAGTAACTGTAATTTTCGTTAAATACAATTCGGTTGCCCCAACTGTGTTCTCCTTCTCCACAATGGTATCAGTACACACTTAGTCAGTTTTTTTATGTCAGTCAGTCAGTCAGTCAGATGCAACGTAGAACTTCGTACGTAAGTACATCAATTCATGTTGCCATACCACATCAGCACAGAGATATAATTGTCAATTCAAATACAATAACAGTAGAGGTAGTAAGGGAATTAAAAGTAATCGGAGATGTTAGGATTAGAAGATACTATTCAACAAGTATGATTCAGTGAGAAAAGTTTAGAAAGTCAAAACTAGAGGTGTTGAAGAATCCAGAAGATTAGGATTTGAGAGAACACAAAATGTAAATGCACCGGCGCCATTGCGAACGATTTTGAGCCATGTCATTCAAGGTCTCTAACCATCGATTATTATCATCTCGCGGAGCCCAACCAGGTAGTCGACAATTACCGACATGGCTCAGTCCACTAGTCAATGACTTCATGGATTTCTGCCATGTTTTGGTTTGGCCGCCCCTAGTAAGCGTACGTACGTACCAAATTCTAAGATGTAGCTGACTGACTGACTGACTGAGTTAAACCGAACTGGGATGAGTTCAGTTGGAAATGTCAATTTGATGATAGTTGAAACATGAGTGTTTTATCTCGTCTCAGTCAGTTTTCCAAACTATTGTATATTTTTAAAATTTTTGTATAACATCCATGTTGGAACACTTACTTGTTGACAGAAATCATAGACAATTCTGACTAGTATAGACGACTATAGGAAATTATAGTGATAAGTACCATTGCAAATATATACAGTGATAATTATATAAAAGAAAGATTTGTATGCAAGCGAGTAATAAATGTCAGTCAGTCAGTCAGTAATAAATATAGATATATTCACAGTATAATTCTTAGTTGTTATCAACGTAACAACACTATCAGACTATAAATCATGATTATCGTATTGATAGAAGACTTCACACTTTTTTGAACTGATAAGATTACAGGACACACTAACTATATAAAAGCAAGCTTGACTTTGTTTATTTAAAAAAACAATCAACGATCAACAATTTGAACAAAAAACCCTCAAACACAAAAAAAAATTTTGAAAAAAAAAGGTGGTACAGTTTCTGTTACAGATTTTTTTAATAGCTGAAGAACCAATTAGAGACAATAGTAGACTGGACAGTTCTGTGTTGTGTTATAGTTTGACTTTTGATTTTTGAACAATCTAATAATGAAATCATCATCTGGATAGTTAAGAATATTTATCAATTTCGTGTTTAAATAAAATTTGATTTTAACCAATTCAGTCTCGTGTGCTGTTACGGGTATGAGGGCGGTTGTCACTTCCCGGATGCTGCCCACACCGTGGAAGGTCGGTTCTTGAAGAACCTGAAAAGGAAGGTATTATAGACCTGGAGGCGTGACCGCAAAGCCCAAGGGACAACTGATTCAGGCCGGTCACGCACGGCCTTTTTATGAAAGGTTTTTTAAGTATCAGCTCCGCTCTTTTAAAGCCCTTCGTGGGCACCCTTAACCAAGGAGACGGAAATCCGTGAGGTAGGGTGAGGTGTGACATTTTTAGGGTCGACCTGTTCTAACCCTTCCTTCCTTGTAAGAAGGCAGAATCGCTGCAGATGCTGGTTGTCCGAGGGAAATGCCTTACTGCTGTCATACACCTCTGAAGTCAGCAGTACGACTTCGCCCTCAGACTTTGGGTAGCTGCTTTTAGTCTCATCGTTCTCCAATCGACCTGCCAGGCATAGTGGGACCTTCAGGAACATATGTCCCAACCAGTATAGCTCTGCTGGGTCATCACAATAGTCAAGCCCGACCACTACGTCAAGGTAGCAGCTACGGTCGGGTTATGTATGGCTAACCACCGACTGCCGCGACGAGCTGTTTTGCAGTGTAGGAGTAGATTGAAAGAAAGCTAGGGGCGGTCAAACCAAAATATGGCACAAATCCATGAATTCACTGACAACTAGATTGAGTCATGTTGGTAGATGTAGGCTACCCGGTTTGGGTCCGCGAGACGATAGTCACCGATGGTTAGAGACCTTGAACGACATGGCTCAGAATCGTTTGCAATGGCGCAGGTGCATTTACTCCTTGTGTTCTATGAAACTCTACGTTTCTGCATTCCTCCTAATGTCTACCTTTCTCCTTCTAAATTTATCTAACTGAATTATACTTCTCGAATCATATCTTCGCTCCCTAATCTTCTCCATTACTGCTAATACTTCTATTATTGCTATCACTGTTGGATTTGAACTGACAGTTACGTTTCTGTTGTGATGGGGCATGGCAACCTGAACTGATGTACTTACGTACGAAGTTCTGAGTTTTATTTGTCTGTCTGTTAAAATAAAATAAATTGTACCAAAAATAACCAGCATGCACACGTTAGTCATCTCAATTTATTAGTAGAGTAGTACTAGTAGTAGTCGTATATAATATACAAACTACATTTACTGTGTTGGTCTTAGAGCTGGGAGCGTAACTGCAGAGCCCATAGGACAGCTGCTTGATGCCAGTCGCGCACTGCCTTTTTGTAGTAAGCTGACGTGTTAGCTGCGCCCTCCAAAAGGTCTTACCGCCGGAGACGGAAATCCATGGGGTAAGGTGAGGTGTGGCATTTTTCTAACCCTTCCTTCCTTGTGAGAAGGCAACATCGCTGTAGATGCTGGTTGTTCGAAGGAACTACCTTACTGCTGTCACACATCTCTACAGTCAAGCAGTACACCTTCGTCCTCGAACCTTACGTCGCAGCTTTTAATCTTAGTGTTCTCCAATCTACCTACCTGGCATAGTAGAACCTACATATTCAACAAACTGAATTTCTAATTTAAACAAAATATCTTCAAATATCAACATTTCAGCTTATACTATTAATCATTCCAAAATACATTCAAAATTAAATTAGTCAACCCCAGTTAACAGATATTAGTAATAATAACAATAATAAATATTAAAGAACATTCAACCAAGAAAACTCATTAAAATACATTTTTACATTGAACGAAATTCTACACAATTGAAATGCCACGAAAGAAGAGAGAAATATAACACAGAAAGAAGCACTCACTTTAATATCTCGAGGTAGACGTATATAGTGTAATTCAGGTTCCGATGTGATTGGATTAGTTTGTATTAAAATTTTGCCTAAACGAACATCTTTACATACAGCGCATAGAGCTGGTTCAAGTGCTTCACCTGCTCTCAGGATAGATACACCACAGACTTGAGTGCCTGTAGCTAATTGTCGACCACGATAAGTGATACCCTGAGGAGTTTCAATATCAACATCCTTGTGAGGAGAGAAAAAAAAACAATCGATAAATTATTTTTTTTAATAATTTTTGAAAAAAATACTGTTTCAATCTCTTTATTTCGCGATAATTCTCTAGATAATATTTGTGTTTTTGATTGAATTTACACCTCTGAATTCATAAGCTGTTACGTAAATGCACATAAATATGTCATTGGATTATTACGAGTTCACACCTTAGTCGGAAAAAGAAAGCGAGGATCGAGGATCCGGTGACACGATAGGCTACTCTAATCCGAGTGTCCCAACCCCATTGAATAAGAGAAGACTTGATACGAAGTAGGGCGTGTATTCTACAAACATCCAGAAAGTACGATTGTAGTGAACGAGAACACAGGTGGGGCAACCGAATTCTATCTAACGAAAATTACAGAGTTACTCGGTAAAATTGGAAAACCATATCGTAAATCGTTCATTTGCAAAATATCAGTTCATCCTATCGAACTGGACTGTTCCTGTTGCAAAACATCAATCTAATGTCACTGTTCATGCGTTTCATACAAATTCCATTGTGTTCTTCTAACTCTTCCTTTCTTGATCTTCCCCCATCTTCTGCTGTCAGACATTACGTTGACACTCACGTCATATACTACTTATAAGTAGCGCGCACCACACGATGTCCGAGTCCAGAAGAGAATCAGGATCCCAGACTAGGAATCCGGGTTCGGATAATAAAATGATACAAATAGTGCTTATTTATAGAGTTAGATCGAATAAGAAACAACATGAAAGTCTGTGACATTGATAGTCAGGACGACCATAATATTGACACCAACAGGAATCGACCAATAGAATTAGGCTTACGCAAATAATTCTCTTAATATAATTGATGAATATCCTAACATAAGCTGCTCATAAATCTCCAAAATACAAATCTAAATTACTAACATTTTTGATGAGTGAATGATGACAAATAAAACAGCTGAATATTTTTTTTTTCAATTTCATAAAGTAACACAAATACACTCTCATTATTATCATAAAAATACAAGTCATTAATTACACCCTTGTAGAATAGAGAAGATTTTCGTACAAATAAACCTCGAGGTTAAATAATTGTCTCTCTAAATGCCCCGACCGTTCTGCTACCTTGACGTGGTGGTTGGGCTTGACTATCGTGATGACCCAACCGAGCTATACTGGCTGGAACATATGTTCCTCAAGGTTCTACCATGCCAGACAGGCCGATTGGAGAACGATGAGACTAAAAGCAGCTACTCAAGGTCTGAGGGCGAAGTCGTACTGCTGACTGCAGAGGGGTGTGACAGAAGTAAGGTGTTTCCCTCGGATAACCAGCATCTGCAGCGATGCTGCCTTCTCACAAGGAAGGAAGGTTTAGAAAAGGTCGGCCCTAAAAATGTCACACCTCCCCTAACTCACGGATTTCCGTCTCCTTGGGTAAGGGTGCCCACTAAGGGCTTTCAAGAGCGGAGCTAATCCTCAAAAAAACTTCTCATAAAAAGGCCGTGCGTGACCGGCCTGAATCAGTTGTCCCTTGGGCTCTGCGGTCATGCACAACACTAATCTACCTTCCTTTTCAGGTTCCTCGAGAAACAACCTTCCACGGTGTGGGCAGCCGGGAAGTGACAACCGCCCTCATACCCGTAACAGCACGCGAGACCAAATCGGTCAAAATCAAATCCTTCCTACACCCCCTAGTACCTCTCTTATCTCCACGACTCTCTAAATGCAAGCATGTTCGGGATGCGGTTCTCACCCTCGAAATGCAAATTGTTGCTTCAAGATTGGGTTGCATCGGCACCTGAACTAGTGATAGGGAGTGAAGTAGTCGAGCGTGTAGACCGCTTCACTTATCTTGGGAGTCTCATCAGTGCCGATGGTCTGGTGACTGACGAAATCTCAGCACGGATACAGAAGGCTCGATTGGCTTTTGCCAACCTGCGTCACTTATGGCGAAGGCGAGATATCTGTTTGCTGACTAAAGGACGAGTGTACTGTGCAGTGGTTCGCTCCGTCTTACTTTATGGCTGTGAAACATGGCCAGTGAGAGTAGAAGATATTCGTAGGTTATTGGTTTTCGATCATAGGTGTCTTCGAAGCATCGCTCGTATATCCTGGCACACCCGAGTGAGCAACGCTGTTATTAGGAATCGGTTGCTAGGTAAGAATGGCAGATCAATAGACGCAGTAGTGACACTTCATCAGTTGAGGTGGTTGGGACATGTGTTGCGTATGCCCAACCACCGACTACTTCGACGAGCTTTGTTTTGTAGTGTAGGAATAGGTTGGAAGAAAGTTAGGGGCGGTCGAACGGCAGAAATCTATGAAGTCACTGTGACAAGTGGACTGAGTCATGTTGGTAGATGTAGACTACCTTGTTGTGGTCCGTGAGACCATAGTAATCGATGATTAGAGACCCTGAATGACATGGCTTAGAATCGTTTCCAATGGAGCAGGTGCATCCACTCCTCGTGTTCTCTCTCAAATCCTAACCTTCTGAATTCCTGACCACCTTTATCTTCTTTCAAGTTTATTTCACTAGATTCTACTTCTTGAATAATAATATCTTAGAACCCTAAAATTTCCAATTACTTCTAATACTTCCTCTACCTCTAATAAATACTCTGGGATTTGAAGTGACAATGGCTAATGTGGTATGGTAACTTGAATTGATGTACGTACATACGTACGTACGTACGAAGTTCTGTGTTGTTTATTGACTGAACTGAACATGGGAACATCAACTACGAACATGAAGTCAATCGATCACTACTACTGGTCATAGGTATCCATCCATCCACTACTCATCTACAATGTTATATAATTAAAACTAAATGATGTCTAGAAATAAGAACACACACACACAAAAACAAAAAACATTTTACCTACCATATGAGGAAGTAGATTCATTGCAGCTTCACACAAAGGTCGCATTAAACGTTCTGCATAAAAAACAAATGCATCTTGATCAGTGCATTGATTACGAATTAATGTGTGCAAACCAAGTCTTTGTGGTGTAGAAGGCAATACATGTAATTGAGGTGGAAGACATACTTTATAAGATGTACCAAGACTACCACCACCATTAGTAATAAATTGTTTTTTATGATTATTACTAGTGTACTGGAGATTGTTGTTGTTGTTGTTTACTGCATAAACATCACCACCACCACCAACCATTGTACTACCACTACTACTACTACATGTACCGGTTGCATTCTCCTCTTCCCAAGATGTATCATCATTGGAATCTGTTGGCAATGTACCATTAGAAAGTATATAAGGGAATTTAGCGAATTCATGTCTGGATCGTAATCCACACTTAACATTTAAGAACAAAAAAAAATAAAAAAGAAATAAACAATGTTAAGTTAATTAATAATACAAACTATAAGAGTTAATAGAGAAGCATTATAAATCAATTATCAAGTGCAAAATTTGTGTACTATTGGGGCTTTGAATCTCATTTGAAGGTTAGTGATAGTGTGGTGTGAGCTACTTATAAGTAGTATATGACGTGAGTGTCAACGTAATGTCTGGTAGCATAATATGGGGGGGAGATCAAGAAAGGAAGAGTTAGAAGAACACAATGGAATTTGTATGATCTGTCACGACTATCATCTTCGGAGGGTAACTACCTCATATCGGATACGGCTGAACTCCACTGGTCACGGCTTAATGATCATAAGGGTAATTGTTAGCATGTGAGATCAAGGGTTCCAGGTTCGATTCCTGCTTTCGGTCTTGGATGTGCATAACTGATGAGTGCCATACTAGAAAGACATGGTTATTCAGTCCTTGCAATTTTCTAATGTGTTCATCTAACACTGATCGATTCATGATTTCAATCAAATTCATTGGTCTAGCATTTTACTTGTCGTAAATATCAAGTTTAGACAAGATGCACACACGGCGATCGATTCTCTACGTTACAAATTTTAGTTTTGATTTCTATCAAATATGTAATTGTTTTATCAATTTCATGAGATTGAAAGCGGTAAGGCATAGAGAATTTTAGTTTATTCAAAAATTAACTGGTAATATTGATTCAATCAGTTCGCTATTGTACTGTAATGTATATTTGGGTATGATTTTCGGTGCGCAACAACTTAATGCTTTGAAAATTAAATACTTATTATCGATGTGTGTATATTATCATATTTTTTACAAGGTTTGAAACTGTGACCACCTAACGCGATGGCAACAAACAGTATGATTTGTTTAACCTATCTATGGGACACACATTCGGACTAGTTTTGAATGCAACATATTCAACACAGACCTATAAATATTATTGATTGTCAAAAGACTGTGATTAGTCGTGCGATAATATATATATATATATATACTTTAGGTGTGGCATAGTGTAGATAGGTTAGTGGGGTTGTGAATCCTTATCAATTAAGGTGGCCGGAGCATGTGTTGTCCGCTACCCACCTTAAGGTGCAATACTAGTTGGAGTAAGCTGCAAGAATTCTGGTGATTTATCAATCAGATATATGTTATCAATTCATGTTAGACTAAGCCGGCGCCATTGCAAACGATTTTGAGCCATGTCATTCAAGGTCTCTAACCATCGATTATTATCATCTCGTGGACCCCAACCAGGTAGTCGACAATTACCGACATGTTAATAATACAAACTATAAGAGTTAATAGAAAAGCATTATAACTCAATTATCAAGTGCGAATTTTTTGTGTACTTTGGAGGCTTTGAATCTTATTTGAAGGTTAGTAGTGATAGTATAATAAAACTGAACAAGACTGAAGAAATAGATAGAAATTCGAATATGTGACTGTGAAATGAAAGGTTGAAAAGGGTTCTAACAAACAAAAATAATTAAAACAATGCTTCATTGAACCAGGATTTCTATTTCGCAGGAGATATTCTAAGTTTGAAAGGAATATTTGAATTGAAATTAGGCAATTGCTTCTCGGCAGTGCATATTCACGACTCACAGGATTCGAACCCAGGACCTTCGGTCTTGTGCGCGAACGCTTCACCTAATGGTGGTTTAACGTTGATCGATTTATGATTTCAACAATCTCCACAAACCTATAATACAAATTACTTGGCTTACAAGTGACTAACTCCATGGGGAATCTTCTCCGAGTTCTAGTGAGAATTCGTGACGAGTGGAGTTCAACTCTGTTCAGGTGTGAAGCAGTGCTCACCGAAGACAGCGTATGAGGTTGTGCAAGCCCGTGAATAGATCGAAGCTAGAAAATAACACCGTTAGATACCGGTTCAGTGATCCGTAAAAGTTAAGTGTTCGCCAGCAAGACTGAAGTTCCTAAGTTCAAATCTTGCGAGGTGCAGGAGTCGTAGATGCGGACTACTGACAAGTCGCAAACCATGACAAAACGGCCTTGCAGTGCTCCCGGGTTTCTAATGATGGTCTAACATTGATTGATTCATGGTTTCAAAAAATGTGTAACACACTTTTTTTGCAACAGTTAGTGTAATTGTTGACGTTGAATTTATTCTACTTACAAATTCTGCTTTATGCTGCTTATTTCAAAAAGTTTGAATCTATCTATGATTATTATTAACTGGATACTTGATGAAATTTTAAAATACACACAACATAAGAAAAACATCAAGCATCAATCAATAAGTGAAATGTACCAGTTTTTTTCTAACAGAGTAATAGACATTACCTGTTTTAAACGTTTATTGATGTGTTGAACAATTAATTGCAATGCAACAGTATTTTGTCCCCCTTAAAGGTTTTGAAAAACATGTGATATTATACAATGAATAAACGTCATACATTTGAAAACAAAAGTCAAAAATAGTCAGTCATTCAGTCAGTTACAACGTAGAACTTCGTACATGAGTACATAAATTCAGGTTCCCATACTGCATTAGCACAGAGACGCAATTGTCAGTTCAAATCCCATGGTGGTAGAGATAATAGAGGTATTAACAATATTGGAGATTAGGGTTCGAAGATATGATTCGAGAAGTATAATTCAGTGAGATAACTTTAGAAATAGAAAAATAGAGATGATGAGGAATTCAGAAGATTAGAGTCTGAGAGAATACAAAGAGTGAATGCACTTGCGCCATTGCAAACGATTTTGAGCCATGTCGTTCAAGGTCTCTAACCATTGTTGACTTTCGTCTCATGGACACCAACCAGATAGTCTGCATCTACGAACATGACTCAGTCCACTTGTCACAGTGACTTCATGGATTTGTGCCATGTTTTGGTTTAGCCACCCCTATCTTTCTTCCAACCTACTCCTACACCACAAAACATAGCTCGACGAGGCAGTCGGTGGTTGGGCATTCGTAACAAAATGTCCCAGCCACCATCTGCTATCCTTAACCAATACTCGTTTCCTAACTATAGCATGGCTGTCCCATGATATACGAGCAATTCTTCGAAGACATCTATGATCGAATACTAATAACCTACGAATGTCCTCTACTCTTAACGGTTATGTTTCATATCCATATAGTAGGACAGAGCGAACTGCTGCGCATTACACACTAGCCCCTTAGTTAGCAAACGGATATCTCGCCTGAGCCATGGGTGACGAAAGTTGGCAAATCCTTCTGTATCCATGCTGAGATTTCGTCACACACCATGCCATTATCACTGATGAGACTCCCGAGATGAGTGAAGCAATCTACACGCTCGACTAATTCACTCACTATCGCTAGTTCAGGTACCGATACAACCCATTCTTGAAACATCATTTTGCAATTCGATAGGGAAAACCGCATCCCGAACATGTTTGCATTGTTGCTGAAAAGGACTATGTCATTTGTACGTGTGTCTCCTGGTAGAAGGGCCACTTTTGAAAAGTCAGACGATAATAATGTTAAATCTAAAAGCATATCAACGACAAACTTAAACAATAACTTGTAATTATGACATGTGTTTGACAAATAATTAAAATTGATAATCACTTTATTGAATTCAAAAATCTATTAAGCCTAAAAAAAGAAAATAAATGATCAAGATAAATATATATATTCACTCTCATAAAAACACCATTCAACAATCAAACTACCTCTTGGAACAATAATATCTGCTTGAGCCATACTTGGTGCAATAAATTGTTCATAGGAAGGTTTAACAAAACGCATATATTGTTCTAGTACACTTTGCAATTCTCTACCACGTTCACTAATATCACGACGTAGACGACGAGCTAATCGTTCATCTGCATCAGTATCAACAAACACTTTCAAATCCATTAGCTAAATGAGGAAAATAATGGGAAGGGAGAAGAAAAAAATTACCAAGAAAATGATGGATAAAGTTAATGTAAGTAATAAAACGTTTTAACGAGCATGGGTAACGATAAAAATTACAGAGTAATTTTTACTGTACTGACCTAATGCTGTTCTTATAATATCCAAAATGGATATTTTACAGGTAACCACCGATTCGAATACAGACTCAGGGTGTAGGAAGGATTAGATTTTGACCAATTTGGTCTCGTGTGCTGTTACGGGTATGAGGGCGGTTGTCACTTCCCGGATGCTGCCCACACCGTGGAAGGTAGTTTCTTGAAGAACCTGAAAAGGAAGGTAGATTAGCGTTGGTCATAGAGACCTGGGTGCGTGACCGCAGAGCCCAAGGGACAACTGATTAAGGCCGGTCACGCACGGCCTTTTTATGAAAGGTTTTTTGAGTATCAGCTCCGCTCTTTTTAAAGCCCTTCGTGGGCACCCTTAACCAAGGAGACGGAAATCCGTGAGGTAGGGTAAGGTGTGACATTTTTAGGGTCGACCTTTTCTAACCCTTCCTTCCTTGTGAGAAGGCAGCATCGCTGCAGATGCTGGTTGTCCGAGGGAAATACCTTACTGCTGTCATACACCTCTGAAGTCAGCAGTACGACTTCGCCCTCAGACCTTGAGTAGCTGCTTTTAGTCTCATCGTTCTCCAATCGACCTGCCAGGCATAGTGGGACCTTCAGGAACATATGTCCCAGCCAATTTAGTTCGGCTGGGTCATCACGATAGTCAAGCCCGACCACCACGTCAAGGTAGCAGCTATGGTCGGGCATTGAAATACAGTTCACATGGGATCAATCAATCTTATATGGCTATACTCACATATTTGCAAAACATTGAGAATTTACTGTGAAAATCGCAAAAACACTCTGTAAATGAATGATGCATGGTAAAATACACTGAGTAAGTAGGAATTAAATAAATAACCAAACTATGGTCTTAGATTCGAGTTTAAAAATTACAATTGTTTAGTGTGGCCTTCCATAGAATTGAGATTTTCGACAAAATAAAAGTAGTGGTTTTTGAAGTCTTCATCGTTACCACTGGTTCCACGAACAAAAAGTAAAACCATAAAGGACGGGTTAATGACAGAAATATTAGGAAGTGGTGAAATTGTTTGATAACAAAGATGAATTTATGTATTCGTAATATGTATGTAGATAAATAGTACATTTAAATTCTTTCTGATGAGGTTAACCGCAAAATCGGATTAGTTCTGGTAGCAGAACTTTTTCTACCCCCCTTCATTTGTCTGTGCAGAACACTATACCACCTCTACATCTTGATACAGTCAATAGTCAGTCAGTCAGTCAACAACAACCAAAACATAGAGCTTGGTACGTACGTATATCAGTTCAGGTTGCCATACCAGTCAATAGTACAATAATGTTTTAGGATCTGAAGTTAAAAACTTGATCAAATTATTACCCAACCAACTAGTCTGATACCTTGGAATCCTAGAAAAAAGTTTTAAAATTCGTATGACGACTCAGTTAGTTAGTCTAAAGCACCAAGTTCAAACACCGCGTTGAAGTATTAGCCACGACAGAGACGGCAAGACGAAACCGAATATAAATGAACGTTACACATGTGAAAGTAAAGTTAAGAGCACTAAACGATCACATTTCATAACTGTATACATCAGAACAGACAAATAATAGTTATGAGTAACAATAAACAAAGAATAAAATACGTTGATTCAAAATCAACTTGCTAAAGAAGTTTAACATTACCTTGGCCACTGCTTGTGAATAAAACACCAAAATTCCTTCAATGATAATAATATTAGCCCCATAGACAGTATTCTGTTGATTTGTCAGAAAAAAAAATATATATATATACATCAATTAATGTTTCACATGATAAAAATCGATAATTTTAGAGTTTTATGCTCTAAACTATTTGCTAAAATGCTAGACATGATAATCTATCTATCAGTTTGTTTTTTAAAAGTGTCTAGTTCCAAAATGTTACACAGACATCAGATTCGAAATAGCGTTTACCTTAAATATAACAAATGAAAAACAATCTCCTTTAACAGTTGTACAATATGATAGATATTGAACAATTATTGCCTTTATCAGGTCTTAATCTGTCAATCTATAAAAAAAACTCCATTAACAAACGTACTGAAACAGAGATAATGAGCTTTGATTGAAAAAAAAATCAAATGGGAGTTACCTATGTCTTCTATGCGCGCTAAGACGTAATATAACGAGTGGCTGGCTATATAAGGTCTCTGTATTTAGCTCAAGAAAACATGTTGTTAGTAAAGATTGAGTGAGCCTACGCACTCAAATACAAGTATGCGAAATGTGGTTTGAGCGTATTACCACCACCAGTCTCCACTTTCAAAACAGATAATGTTCGTTAGCATTTACAGTTGTGAATCACAGAACACTACACGAACTTATACACAACTGTTAGAAAGATAAGCGGAAACTCTGGTAAAAATTATATACAGTTATTTCATATCATATTAAAGAGTTTTGGTTTTTATTATCCGAATTAAATTTAACGAAATTCTACAAGGATGAGGTTTAAGAAAAAGTTGACAGCATTTCAAATAAAGAAAGAGAATATGTGACGAGACAAAAAGCAAATAAAACTAAAGACTCCCATCGTGAAAATTATAACAACACATTATAAGTGAACAATATTGTTTCTAATTAGATCGTCATCAGGCTTTACGCTAATATACATGAATATTCACATGAAAGTGTTAAACCAATCACGGCAATTTGAGTTAATAATCATAACGAAATAGATTACGTCACTACACTACACTTCATCTATTTTCATTTATGTACATAGTAGCAAGTAATAAGTAGCAGCCATAACAAAACACGATACTACGATTGTGTCAAGATGAAACAATTAGTTAAAAAGATAGTGTTTTTCTGGTTCTATAAATTGCCAACTGATTAAGCGTGGGTTGCATGGCTTCGCAATCATCTCGCAATGGGACAATATTATCCACATGTTCAGGGTCACGAAATATTTTTTTCAAGTAACAGATCCACACCATCATTGCCTACATTCATCAAAGCTGTTTCCAGAACGTCGTTGATGGCAAAATTGAATAAAGAGTGAGATTGGACAACCCTACCTAACTATAGTGATTCACTCTGATCGAGGTGTTTATATATAGGGCCTTCCGGACGTTGTTAAACAGATAATGTGGACTCTTTTTAAAGAAACAAATATTGACTCGTTACACGATATAGGAACACTCTAAATGCCGAACGATTGTAAACGACTTAGTCAGTCTCATGGTCAGAAGGTCGCTACGATCCTTAAAATGGGGTTGAGGGGAGTTATCTGGGTCTGGTGACTTGTGACGCTTCAAGAAATAAAATTCATTGAAGCCTTTCGACGCGTTAGGTGAGTCAGAACAGTTGATATTTCTGAGGAAACAGACCAGATGAACTGTTCCTCGAAAGTTTTTATCGTCCAAGACGTTGGTAGATGTTATTGATTATTGTCAGCTTCACGGATTGTTTCACACACACCACACTTCTTGCTGCCGGTGACTAGGATTAGTTGGAAGAGCATCTAACAGTTACCAGAGGCAACTGCAGCTTCCAACTCGTTAGTATCCTAAAACCACCAGGTTTTTCGGTTCTGCACGATTCGATCGCCCAAGTCTTTTATCGTCAAACTCGTGGTTACTCGCAGTAGACTGAGGTGCCTCAACAAATTGTAAGCGGGACGTTTGGCAAAGATGCAAGAGATTTTACTTGCCATTTTCACTGCGCCTTCTAACTGCAACCAGTATTCATCTATACTTTTTGGTAGGTCGGTAGCTAGCTTTGAAACCAGGTTGGTTTAACATTGAGCTGAAGCAGAAGCTGCAACCAATTAACTGACATTAATCTGTTTAGGATGATGAACTTGTTGGCCACTAGAATACAACATAAGACTAGCGCAAACATGGCCATGATGAGTATTCCTAAAGAAGCGGCAGTCGTGGACACAATCATACCAGTGGTAGCTGATCGAAATATGATCAACCTGAGACCAGAGTTGAGAAGTAGAGGGAGGATGCCAGGTTGAACATCAGAGATAATAGTGTTGATAGTTAGTGTTAGCTAGAAATATGTTGTAGTCTGTGCAAGTTTGCAACATACTATCACCGTTAGATGACCTGTGACTAACAAGTCTCCATTGGCCACGCAGAAAACTCTCCTCCATGCCTAGACATCCGACCTGTGCATTCGAGTCACCGGCTAGCAGTACAGCATCTGTCGAACGTAGTTGCTGAAGATTACCCAAGTAATGATACGACTCACCCTTGATTGCATCCAGGCAGCGATCGGTCGGGGCACAGATGGAGATAACGAAAAGACATCGTTTCTCACACCGATTTTTTCTTGCTTACATGGGGCTTTTAAATCTAACGGTACATAACCGACCGATTATTGAGATCCAATCGATTAGTGATGCCTTAGCTCTAGCGCTTAGTGCGACAGTAACGACAACAAGATCAGACGAAGATGACACAGGGCCACCACCAGACAAGCACACGCGAAACAAGTATTCCGAAACGGCAGGAGAACGAATGTGCAGTACATCTTGAGTCCTGAATACGGGTCTCGAATAGACAACAAATATCAATGTTCAGATTTTTTAAAGACGTAGTAAACCCCTCTGTTGTCCGATCTGCACTAGTGTGCAAACATTGTAAGAAGCCAGTTTGAATGACATACATGGTTTCAGAAAAGTTGATTCAAAATTCGTGTTCGGGTTTTTTGGACGTACCGATCTGTTGGAGCTATTTTGCCTGAATCATTATAAAACTCGAAATTGTGGTTGGATAAAAACGCAAACCCAAAATATCGAAATACACAGATATGATTACAGTATTTATTTCTTTGAAAAAAAACAGTTAAATTTTTAATCTTGTCTGAAGTACTTGAGTAGGGTGAATGGATATTATTCGCTGTTCTGTATTAACTTTTTTTTCTGTTTTTTCAAATATAGATATGGTATTACATAGAAAGTTTTATTCTCTCAACTATAGTTTCGCAAACTATGACTCAACTGTCAGTCAGTCAGTCAGATGCAACGTAGAACTTCGTACGTAAGTACATCAGTTCATGCTGCCATACCACATCAGCACAGAGATGTAATTTTCAATTCAAATACAATAGTAGAAGAGGTAGTAAAGGTATTAGAAGTAATCGGAGAGGTTAGGATTAGAAGATATTATTCAAGAAGTATGATTTAATGAGAAAAGTGTAGTAAGTCAAAAGTAGAGGTGTTGAAGTATCCAGAAGATTATGATTTGAGATAACACAAAGAATAAATGCAACGGCGCCATTGCGAACGATTTTGAGCCATGTCATTCAAGGTCTCTAACCATCGATTAATATCATCTCGCGGACCGCAACCAGGTAGTCGACAATTACCGACATGGCTCAGTCCACTAGTCAATGACTTCATGGATTTGTGCCATGTTTTGGTTTGGCCGCCCCCAACTTTCTTCCAACCTATTCCTACACTACAAAACAAAGCTCGACGAGGCAGTCGGTGGTTGGGCATATGCAACACACGTCCCAACCACCTCAACTGATGAAGTGTCACTACTGCGTCTATTGATCTGCCATTCTTACCTAGAACCCGTTTCCTAATAACAGCGTTGCTCACTCGGTAGTCCAAGGATATATGAGCAATGCTTCGAAGACACCTATGATCGAAAACCAGTAACCTACGAATATCTTGTACTCTCACTGGCCATGTTCACAGCCATAAAGTAAAACTGTGCTATAGGAAAAATATTTTCAGGTAAAATATAGATCATATTTGTAATTCATAATATCAGTAATTCAATTTACCGTTCTAGAAGTACGAGAATGCGTTTTAAAATCATATTCAGGTATTTCAATGGTTTTGCCCTCTCGTAGTCTGCATAAATGACTTTCTAATAAGTCAAGATCAAAAGCGCTTGGATGATCGAAATTGTAATGACAAGCAACAGCTTGAAGTTTTTGCTCTGGAGTAAGAACCTAGAATATATCAAAATTGAGAAAACAAGGGAAAAATAGTTTCTGAAAAAAATTACCACGTCGTTACGCGCAAATACCTGTGCGTCACACTATACAAAAAGATACTATGTAAAATGTGATATAAAAGCAAAAACGCACCGAGACAGCAATTTAATAATTAAAATACTTGACTTTCAATCACTCGGTTATGGTTTAGAACTAGGATTGGTCTGCCTCAGTACAAGCACCTAAGTAGTATTACTAGCCCTCACAAAAACCGCGACCAAAAGACCAACTACAGAAATCTATACGTAGCAAGTTACCATCAGTCAGTCAGTCAGTCAGATGCAACGTAGAACTTCGTACGTAAGTACATCAGTTCATGTCGCCATACCACATCGGCACAGAGATATAATTGTCAATTCAAATCCAATAGTAGTAGAGGTAATTAACGCATCAGAAGTAATCGGAGAGGTTAGGGTTAGAAGATACTATTCAAGAAGTATGATTCAGTGAGAAAAGTTTAGAGAGTCAAAATTAGAGGTGTTGAAGAATCCAGAAGATTAGGGTTTGAGATAACACAAAGAATAAATGCACCGGCGCCATTGCGAACGATTTTGAGCCATGTCATTCAAGGCCTCTAACCATCGATTATTACCATCAGTAAACGACAAAGAATCCAGAGAATGGAAACATCCGGAAGGTATATATATATATGGTTTTCCTAAAACGGATTGCCCAATTGTTAAGCTAATCATTTTGTTTGCTAGTAGTATAGTTCCTTGTAAAGATATTTGTTAATAATTTGATCTTATAGCAATGAACCGTTCAGTTTTACAAAATATGCTCATCATAAAATCTAAAACTGCTTTTCTTCACCGAATATTTAATTGGTTGTTGAAAAACCGTTCAAAATATTAGGCAACCGAATAGTTAGTTATTAGTTGATCACTTACGACAACTTTACAACAGTACTTTGATGAAATGAACGAATGAAACGGATACAGATAAAAATAGTCAGACGAAGAGATACTATAGTCCATGTCTTTTCGAGAGACAAACATACAATGTGTCTTATTAGCTTGATACTTCAACATCAAAGCTGCTATATTTTTGTAGGTGTTTAGTGTGAATAATCAAGTCAAATTAGTCATAAGCGACATTTATAGGAACTTTATCATCATTATCAGAGAAAGACACTTAACGGCAGCGTGTATTTGTGTTCTGTGGATTGTTTACTTTTTTTGCGTCGTCTTCAGGGAATTGAACAAATATGATTTTGAAGAATGTCAAATCAATAAAATTGAATTTAAACAATATGGTTTTACCGATAATGATGAGTTCTTATTGATTTGAATAATAATTGATAGAATGGAAGATATTTACAATTTTTGTCATTCAGCAAATTCAGCAACAGAGTGGGGTGATGCTAAATAACTCTGTTCAATGTACCCAAAAATTTTGTTTGTCAGTATGGATGATCCAAAATGTATGGGATGTGATCTCTGGAATGATATGAGTTGTTGTGACTAAGTTGTGACTAACTTTCAACTTGAAAATTTGCTTATTATTTTCCGGATTTTATTACAGCTGATTTGACTGGTAAGTTAAAATCTACCCACTAAAAATATTGATAAGAATCAACATTATGTCCCAAGTGTAACAAAAACCAAACGGGTTTAGGTGGTTAAGATGTTCGACTTTCAGACAGTACTAGGTTTGGGAACCCACTCCACCTACGTCAGCATCAGCAACTAGACAGTATCATTAGCCTTCACAATTGGAATGCAGCTTATAACGAAGTACTTGGAGGATGAGTTAATCTAACTAATTACAAGGAACTAAATAGAATCGGAAAACAAACTAACCTTATAGTATGAGTCCAAACTTATTAAACTGACCCACTGTACATCCAGACTTTCAATAATTACACGCGCTACAGATGTTTTACCGCTTGCACTACCTCCACATATACCGATTACGAAAGGTTGTTGCGTTTGTCCTTCAGCATTATACCACGGTGGACGTCCATGAGTAAAAATGGTACGATTTCCTACCCGAAGAACTGGTTCCGGTAATCCCCAGGCAGTGGAAACCTGGAAGGTTTATATTACCCAAAGAATCAACTTAGAAGCTTTCATATAACAATTATCTCATTAAAAATAATAGCTAAAAACAGCAAACATTATTATACGCCAAACATTGTTAAATAAGTAAATGGTTTTATGGTGGAATAGCCTGATAACTAGTACTGTTATTCAAAAAAAGATGGACGATATAATATCCGATAAATGTTTGGTAGAAAATGCAACATGTTTACTTCACGGGTTTCGAATAAGATCAAACCTTTATCACGGGGTTAATAACGGCTCACAGCAGCAGGACATATGATGCAATGAATGCCTTTCGAATACAGAATGAGCAACTATTAGCGACTGAAAGACCAAATAATAGTGATAAGCACAGACTAGAGATTCTGATATAATCTCGTGAAAATAGGAGGAAATGAGAAGGGTTTTTTGTGAATCTCCTGTACGGTGAATTTTACTATACTGTTATCCAAATCAATCGGACCATGAGGCTCGTGACATGTATAAAAGCCGTCGTCAAAACTGAGAAATCTAAAAATATACGTTGATAAGGTAAAAATAATGTGCGGATGTCATGATTACGACTCACACGTTCAAGCAAGCATATTTTAATGTTGAATCAAGTGTTAAAGTGTATTTTATTATTCTTAAATTTGGAGGTCTAGTAACGAAAACAACTGAATAAGGTGCAGTTGTCCAGAACTGTTTCAGTCAACACAAGGAACAGTTCTCTGATTAGAACAGTACCTCAGTTATCATGCGAGGATTCGGTTTAACGATAGATCATATCCAGAAAGGATTTTTCGGACTTTATCGTCAAACAAAGTTGGTAAGTTCCCTCGAGACTTTATATACACTTTCCCGTTCGGTACTCACTAACCCGAAACCCTCGTTTCATGCTGGGTCGACTGGATAAAAATACTAAATAAATATTTCTCCCAAAGCATTTTAATAATGTTCAATCTTGGAGTGATTATCTAACTTGGACAGAAATAAGTATATCACTAGCTTTAACTAAATAATCTAGACTAAAGAGCTGTTAAATACCGGACACCAGGATCAGACAAAAACTGCTAGCTGACAGCTTGAAAGTAAAAAGATTTTAAATATAAAAAACAATCGAAAAATCCCTACCTTCAGACCCTTGTTGACTTTTAGTGTATCGATGGGTGCGACTTCTTGATCACAACAGCTGTAAAGAGTAGACGTAGTTTGATAAATAAATGATACCTGTAATGCATCGAAGATATTTCAATGATTATCAAGTCAACCGGACATAACATTACTTTGTCAACTGGTTTAACTGATTGAATAACATTAGGCTTAGACAAAAATACCACTACAAGCACCTTATTGGTGGCATGATTGTAGCATCTTAGTGTACAGTATATGGGTCAAGAACATACAGGTTGTTTGCTGTCCTGAGGGGATGAATAAGTAAGTGCATTTAACTGACCTAATAGTTACAGTTGGCTACAAATGAATCCATCAAGGCAATTTAATAAGCTTAAGAGAGAGCTAAATTTTTAAGTTTAGTTGAAAAAGGGCTCGGAGATCTCTTTTATGAACAAAAATCCAGTAAAGAATATTTACCATAGTAATACATAAAAGCAAACAGTTTGCGTAACTCTTCGAAATATTCTGTTTACATAAGATGTGGGACTAACAAATGCAACTAATTCCAAGTAATTTAAGTGACCCGTTACTTTCAACTACATAAAAATCTTTTGCTACATAGTAGGTAGTTAAGCGATCAATTTGAGCTTTGATTCCTATGAAAAACACAAGAACCATCTAAGGGACAAATGATTGGGTTGATCTAATGATCTCAAAATTTGCACACTAGTTCAAGTTTGTTAAGGACATGATTTTTAAACTTGCATACAGCCTACACAGTGATCCAGAGTTTAGTTTGGTAGTCATAGTTTTAAAAAAGAACTGGGAAAATTTAAGTCACTACCGGCCCACCTCGACCGACATCTTGAAGTCACAGTAAAATCTATAGGGTCTTAGTAAAATTGCATTGTTTCTGCAACGTATAACAGCTACGAGCAGATTTTAAAAGACTTTAGTATGTTTGAACATTAGACTAGCACGACTATGAAGGTAGCTGTTATGAAACATAGAATACACTCAATTGTTTAAACAGATACACTTCAACATTTTTATGTAGATTCAGTCAACTCCATCAGAACAAAGATAATTATGAAACTCGACACACGAAAACAACTCGCCTTGCACTAATATCCGATTCAGAGCTGGAAGCCATCTGTTTACTTGCAGCAGATGTTGGCCTTCAACTCCTAGCCATAGCCACGTGATACGCAGCGTACTAATGGAATTGCCCGCATTAGAAATTCCAATATCCAATATCTTCTTCAGGGTTTCAAGTATTTGGCAGTATCTAATGGATGGTAGTCTACCGATGCGACTGGACTAGTCCTATTCAGTTGGCAGTCATTTATGAATTTTTATGTCCCTCGATATCATAATCATATATTTATTCTCAAACAGTAGCATGCCAAAGAGGCATTTCAGTCTACAAGCTAGATCGAAATGTTACGAATGCCACCACATTTACTGTAAAAGTCGCACGGTTAAATTAATAATAAGAGCTCTTTCTGAAAACGATTCTACGCATTGTCACAGACAGTAACTGTATGATTCAGAAACATTTTCAACATGCGATTGCAAATAGGGTAGGCACAGCAGAGTTCTTCAGGATATGCATATTATAGGATTGAATTTGTTGAAAAGAGTTCATTAGAAAGCGGTTACTATAAGCTGTAACCTAGACGAGCGCGTACAGAATTTGGATTTTGCGTATAAGCACCTAGGCTGTTCCACAGCAAATGAGGTTCTGAGAAAAAACAAAAGAGTGTAAAAAACCAACGAAGCAGTTAATAACAGTTGTTTAACCGTTCAAAAAAACAGTGGCCAGTCAAGATAAAATTCATGCAGAGCACCAGAATTAAAATAAATTGTAGTAATACAGCCTTCAAATAAGGGACGACAGCCATAAAGAATAATGCATTGTGATGTATGTTAGGATGGATAAAAGAGGAATTGAAGTAAGAAGCTGGATGCCGATACACTGAAGCGTCACTTTTAGGAAGTAGAGTAACATTTGTGAATAATATTGCTAGTTATATTGTCCACTGTCTGTCTTTTAGTCAACCTCTAAGTCATACTGTGTGTGATTAAGCTTCTTGCAGGTGGTCTCGGCAGAATGCCGATTTCAGTAAATTTTTGTAAACATGCGTCTCGTAATTAGCAAGCTCGTTTGACAAACTTAAATATCACTAATTACTCGTCTGACCAATCGAAAATGGCTGAGAGCAGACGAAACATCCTGCCACAAAAATATGGGTAAATTAAAGTTATAACCTTCACCATCAATGTTCGCTGGGTGTTAACTTCACCTTCCACCCTTTTATGTTGTTAGCTTCATTTAAAATGAATGCGAAATAAGATTTTATGATCTACTCGAGGTTTCATATTTCATGTCCTGTTGAGAAACACTTTTTCCGCAAGTAACTTTCGCAAGCTTGTCTGGCTGTTCAAATTTATGACCTGTGGCGCAGGCATCAGTGCCACTGAATTAACCGTTACGGAGAAAATTACTGGTGGTGAAGAAGATTTGTAGATCAGGTGGATGATGGTAATGGTGGCGTTTCCTTCTCTGAGCTGGGTGTTTTCGTCGATGAAGTGGTCACTAAGTAGAACCTGCCCCTTGAAGTATTATGAAGATATCACGATTGGTGTGATAGAAACAGTTAGTATTGTAACCTACTGTACCACTGATTGTTTTAATATACCTTTTTGTTTATCTGTAACAAAATCCCTTCGAATGCTTCACTTCTATCTGAAGTTTGTGCTAATGATATTGTTCAGAAGAACAATGAAAGCTCCACAACCAAAACACCTAGCTCAGAGAACTAAACACCACCATCACGAAAAGTACTGGTCTTCGAACAGACATCAGCATTTTGGATTTAGTGATGGAAGGATGTTTAGTGAAGTAAGCGAGAAAGTGTAAGTGTATTATAGTTATAAATAGGGCAGTAGGTAACTAGATGGAATCGAAGGTAATTAAACAGAGTGCATTTGAGAACAGAAAACTGAGAATAGGCAATATGGAACTGACAAAACTATGGGTGTTGACAAAATTTTGTTCAGTCCGAACCGGGTGAGGACTTTTCAGGCTGTGCATTCATGATCACAAGAGGTTAGGCAACAAATAGTGATGTTTTGGCGACCACTCGTAATGGCAGTGGAGTGCGTTCTTATCAACCAGTTACGGTTGAACAGTATCGATCGACCCGGTGAGTAATCTGTCCATTCCAAGTGAATTTACGAAAAATGAAATCTGATATTTTTCTCATTTGGGATAATTCAATGGAAATATTTATTGGTATGTAGTTTTGGATTAAGTTTTTCGACCCTGATCAATGAGTACGTTTGTTTCAGTGCAGTAGGGTTTTGGGGTACCAGCAGCTATCACGTTATGAGGACGGAGATCAGTTAGTTGGAATGTGGAAAACACATTAAGTGCCGTTCGCACAAGTATGTTTTTATGCACAATATCTGTACTATGAACTTGTAAAAACCGACCAACCCGACTACTTTTAACTTGTTGCATTATGTTTTGGGACAGTACATCACTTTTGAGCACGTACTTATAACATTCAGCATTTTTTGAATGAACCGATGATAGATTAGCGCAATATTTCAAGGGGCAGGTTCTACTCAGTGACGACTTCATTGATATACGTGTACACCACAGATGCTTTTCCAGCCTTGGCTCTCAAACTTACTCCTTTGACCTATTTAATTACCCCGATTTTCAGATAGTGATCCGTTTAGCGACACTGGCGATGTCACCACAGAATTCATAGATTTAATGGGAATTTACGTGGAGCCATGGCATTCCATATATTGTAATAGGACGAGTAGCAGTTGGCTATGATTGTAGTGCCTCCACATATATTTCAGTTCTCTCACATCTAACTTGGTTAAGCCCTTTCGATTAATTTATTTAACCAAGCCATTTGTAAAACAATAACTTATATGTACCATTGGCTTTTATTATTGTGTGGTTTGTATGCGCTGGTACGATTGAACATTGTTTACACTTGCGCGCATATTCATACTTTTCGCTTTAATGTTAATCTCGTAATATTCCCATGAACTCACATGATTTGTATCGCTTGCTTTTGACCTTGTCAATCATTCGTCGCTTTTATTCATGTGTGTGCATACCTATTTCGCTTGTCATATGTCTGTCTTATTTTTGGTCTGACTATATATTCTTAGTCATGCTCTATCTCTTTTAGTTGGCTCAACAGCCTTCTCCTATTCGCTTCACTCATTCGCTCGCATTGTAATCCAAAGAGTTGGCTCTTAGCCTTCTCCAATTCGCTTCTCTGCTACCCTTATTGTGGTGTGCTACAATAAACGTATACGATACTTGGAGTTCATCTTCTGATTTATTAACCGTCAGACGTCATTTGGGATAAGACAATCTGAACGAGCTTATTACGAAACGTAAGAACACGCCCGAATCGGCACACTACAAAATGGTGAGCCCAACGTCAACAAAATTGGCCACCATACTTAATGGTGATCCCGACGTTCTCAGGATGTTTCCTGATGCTGACGAAAAATCGAACGCTTCCAACTAATTGGTAATTTCGACGTAGAATCGAACGCAATCATTCTTCTGTGCATTCGCTCGCCAGTGCACTACAAAATGGTTATCCCGACGTCAGCAAAATCGGCCACCGTACAAAATGTTGAGCCCGTCGTTCATTCATATCACTCCCTATTTGCTTCGCTCGATTCATTCGTCCATACGTCTTCACAGAAGATCAGTAAACTCTCACTACATAATTCGACGATTCCAATGACAAATCGAATATAACCAACCAGTTGGTAATCTCGAGGACAAATCGAACAGAACCACTAACTGGAAATCCCGACGCCATGCAGTGACAAAGCAGTTCTCATACTTTATGCATTAGCTGAACGAATCAAGCATTATCTTATCGTCATTTTGATTATGTACCAACTCGTCGCATTAATCTATTTCTCGAATTATCGCTATCATTATCGTATTAATGAGAAAGAACCATTATTATGATTAATCATGACATTATGACAATAATGGAATTATCTTAATCGCTAATCGGATCGCATTACGAATATTGTGTTCACGGCAGGACATTTGCAACTCACGGAATTATTTTACTTCTTTCGATACCACGAACGACGTTCATGATTAAGGTGAGTTCGTTCCATTTATTTTGCCGTATCGCATTATTATGTTTCGAATCGCATATCAAAGCAACGGCTCAACAACAATTATGGTCCTTTAATATTTCCTTGGCTATACGATTATCGGATTGGATATATCTTCTATGTACTCATCAGCTGCTCGTACTCGAAAATCTTGCAGCCTGCTAAGTAAATTGGTGGTATGATCTTACGCACATGCACACGAAGCAGCAGTTCAAGCAGTCGAGCGAACCTCCTGCACGCTGATATTGGCATGTTTTTCGACTACCCCAACGCTGGCAACGGTTTGCAACGCTATCATACACATAAGTTTGGAGTCATATACTCGATGGTAGTAACTTATGTTTTCGATATGCATTTAATGTCCATGCATCGCACCTGTACGCAGCTTTATTCTCCGAATTTTTTCACGATAATCTCGACCGCAATTTCTTCACCTATGTGCAGCCACTCGATTTATCGATAAGCCTTACCGTAATGTCTATGCGATTATCGAATTCCGTCTTAACTATCATGTCTGAACGATATTAAATATTTTGCAGCATTTGTATTACATTTTTTTTTATCGTACAACTGCTCCTAATGTATTCTACTCGAAATCGATTATTTTTGCTAATAACCGCTTACCACATATTTTTGATCTGTTAATATGCGAACTTACGAACGTACCCGGACACGGTAACTTTAATTTTCATAACTTTTGATGTTTTCCGACGATTTTGATTTTTTTTTCTCGCAAACAAAGACATTTTCGTAACCTTGTTTGCTGAAAGGGGGCTATTGTAGTGCCTCCACATATATTTCAGTTCTCTCACATCTAACTTGGTTAAGCCCTTTCGATTAATTTATTTAACCAAGCCATTTGTAAAACAATAACTTATATGTACCATTGGCTTTTATTATTGTGTGGTTTGTATGCGCTGGTACGATTGAACATTGTTTACACTTGCGCGCATATTCATACTTTTCGCTTTAATGTTAATCTCGTAATATTCCCATGAACTCACATGATTTGTATCGCTTGCTTTTGACCTTGTCAATCATTCGTCGCTTT